GTGCTGACGAGTTGATGGGTGCAGCACAGCAACATGGCACAAGTATACATATGTAACAAACCTTGCACGTTAGGCACATGTACCCTGGGAACTTAAAGTATAACATAATAATAATTAAATAAATAAATTTTTTAGCATGAAGGGCTGTTGAATTTTGTCAAAAGCCTTTTCTGCATCTATTGAGATAATCATGTGGTTCTTGTCTTTGGTTCTGTTTATATGTTGGATTATGTTTATTGTACTCCACACTTTTCACTCTTCCCTCCCACACACACACCTTATGTTACGGACATCATGACTTACATTTTTTAATATTGTGTATCCATTAACGTATTTTTATACTCTTGTCTTTTAACTTTTATACCAGAATAAAAATTATTTGTGCATCGCCATTACAATATCAAAGTGTTATGTGTTTTCTACATATTTACCTTTACTAGCAAGCTTTATACTTTCATATGCTTTCATGCTGCGGTTTAATGTACTTTCATTTCAATTTGAAGAACTTCAGTATTTTTAAAGGCAGATGTGTTGATGATGAACTCTCTCACTTTTGTTAGTCTGATAAAGTTCTTAATTCTTCATTTTTCAAAAATATTTTGCCAGGTATGGTATTCTTAATTGGTGCTTTTTTCTTCCAATACTTTGAATTGTATCATCTTATTTTCTTCTAGTCTGCAAGGTTTTGGCTGAGAAATACACTGACAGTTTTATGAAGATTTCCTGTTAAGTGATTAGTTGCTTTTCTTTTGCTGCTCTCAAGATTCTCTTTGACCTCAACTTTTGAAAATTTAATTATAATATTTATCTGTGTGGATTTCTTTGGGATCATCCTACTTGGAGTCCATTGGGATTCTTGTACCTAGATGTTCATTTCCCTCCCCAGAATTGGGCAGTTTTCCACCACTATTTCTTTAAATAAGCTTTTTGCTTCTTCTCTTTTTTCCTTCTAGAATCTTAATAATTTATATATTCTTTCACTTGATGATGTGTTTTTAGGTTTTCTTTACTGTTTATTATTGTTTGTTGCTGTTACTCTTACTGAATAATTTCACATGGCCTTTCTTCAAGTTGTTGATTTTCTTCTACTCTGTAAAGTCGCCTGTAAAACTCTAGTAAATTTTAGTTCAAGTATTGTATTCTTCGGCTCTAAAATTTTTTTTTGGTCCTTTTTATATTTTATATCTTTTGTTAATATTCTCATTTTGTTCATGCATAGTTTTCTTTAGTCATGGAGCATTTTTATGATAGCTATTTTGAACTCTTTTCAGATAATTTATATATCTCCAATTCTTTATATATCTCTAAATCTTTAGAATTGTCACTGAAGATTTATTTTGTTCCTATTTTGAGCCTTGTTTCTTTGCTTATTGCTTTCTTCATGTGTCTCATATGTCTCATATGTGTCATGTGTCTCATAACTTTATGCTGGAACCCACACATTTGAAAAAACAGCCACCTCTACCAGCCTTTACAAACTGGCTTTGTATAAGAGACCCTCCCCAATCAGCCCTGCTAGAAATTCTAGGGATATGTGAAAACTTTTGGGGGAAAATGTGACTTCTCTGAACCTGTTCATGCAGTTTCTCAGAACCAATTACTAGTTTCTTTTTCTCTAGTACTGTCTTGCCTTGATTTTAGTGGTCACCAGGTATCCAAAGTATGCTGCTCCTCATCAGCATCCTTAGTCAGGCAAAACTGATTCCATTCCTTAAAGCAGCCTTCCAAAAAGCCTACAACCAGATGTACACTCTGCCACTCTCCTTGCCTCTGAGGTAGAAGGCTCAAGTTATGTGGCTTTTTCTGATTCTGCCTAACCATGCTAGCTACAGCAAACCACCTCCACTCCCACCCCATATACACACTCTCCTTTGTTCTCAGAAGCCCCCAGGCATTAAAACTATGCTAGTTCCATCAGTGCTCTTAGTGGAGAATGACAGAAATTAGTCCTTCCTGCAGCCCTCTGAAAAGCTAGAATATTGGATTCTGGCTTGGATTCTCCACTGTTATCTTTGTTCCCAAGGGAGAAGTCATGATGCAGGGTGCTGTCCTAGTGCAGAGCTGTGCCAGCTTGGTAGAGTAGCTGATGTGGACAAAGTGAAATTTCTCTTCTTACCCATGTCATTGTAGCTTTCCTTGGCTTTGCGGTTGCCTGGGGGTACTGCAACTTCTTAAGTGCATTCTGGAATTCTCATAAAGGTATTTTGGTTCATTGTTAAATTAGTGTTTCTGTGAGGGACAGGGCTAGAAATTCCTATACTGCCTTCTTGCTTATGTCGCCTACAGAATTCTGTTCTTAATTTTAAAATCCAAATATTCATTGCTGGTATGTAGAAAAGAAATTGGCATTTGTATATTAACCTTATATTCAGCAACTTTGGTATAACCACTTATTAGTTTCAGAAGGGTGGTTTTTTATTATTTTTAATTTTCTACATAGATAATCATATTATCTACAAACAAGGAATGTTTTCTCTTCTTTTCTAATTTATAGATCTATTCGTATGAATTTGCTGGAGATCACATAATAAAACACCACAGACTGGCTCCTTAAACAACATAAATTAGTTTTCTTAGTGATGGAGGCTAGAAGTCCAAGATCAAGGTTTTAGCAGAGTTGGTTTTCTCTGAGCCCTCTTTCCTCAGCTTGCAGATGGCTGCCCTCTTGTTGATTCTTCACATGGTTGATGTTCTGTGCACATGCATCCCTCATGTCCCTCTGTGTGCCCTAATCTCCTCTTTCTATAGGGACACAAATGATATTGAATTAGGACTTATCCTAAAGCCTTATTTTAACTCAATTAAATCTTTGAAGACCCTATCACTAATTAAAGTCATATTCTGAAGTACTAGGGTTTAGGGCTTCACTGCATGAATTTTGAGGGAATACCATTCAGTTCATAACACTTTCATTTCCTTTTCTTTTCTTGTTGCATTAGCTAGCACGTTCATTAAAATATTGAAAAGACGTGGTGACAGAAGGCATCTTTGCATTTTTCCTGATAATAGCAAGAAACCTTCTAGTTTCCTGTCATTTAATATAATGTTCACTGTAGGTTTTTTATACATGTTCATCAAGGCAAGAAACTTCCCCCTTTATTTCAGGTTTTCTGAGAGCTCCTATACTTTTTATCTGTTTGTACCATGACCACACACACACTCAATTTCAAAAATGGGGTGACATACCTTCTTTTGTACATTCTCTTCATTTACCTGCAGTTTTAAAAATCTGCTTTTGTTCACTAATATCGGCATACCTTTAAACCCACATCAATATTATAAACCACTGTAGCAGATTTCCTGACTTCAATCTAATCCCCCTTTGATCAACGTTTCATGTAGCCCAAGAAGGGTTTCTCTGATTACCAACCACCTTCTTTAGGGCACCCCACTTAGTGATCTCTTTGAGTACCTTTGGCAAAATGTCTGGATTTTGGTTTTATGCCCAAGGATTTGAATATTGCACTAACTTTTAAACTTCCAAAAGAATGAGGTTATTTATCCCTGAGCCCACCATAAGGCCAGAACATATTATACAGATATTCAATAAAGTTAATCAAATATACACCTATGTGAAAAGGCATCAATAAGTAAATTTTGGATCATAATCTGTTTTGATGACTTCCCTGATTCTATACCTTTATTAATTATTCCTTAGCAATTATTAACACAAGAAAAAATCATGGAAATCAAAATCGAGGGAATGATTGCTCAAAATGTTTGAAGATCTCTATTTCCTATTTTAGTTCTTTGCACTGGGACCCAGCACCTAGCAGTACCTTAGAGCACTCCACAATAATGAAGCATAAAGTTTTCCAAATTAATGTATAAAGATTACTTAGAGTTTGTGTCTTATTATTAGCACTTCCTTTCTACGTAGCTCACATAAAATATTTGATCAAGGTGAAAACTTAATACACATTTAGCATGCTAATGAAACTAACAAAATTAAAGACATATTTTATTTAAAAATAATCTGGGCATCTTTGTCAACTACCCATGATTGTATGTAGGAGGGATGGGCAATCCCAAAGACAAACACCAGACAAAATTTCGCTGAAGCACTATAACAAAATAAAAAATATTGTTCTACATTATGCCACAAGAATCAATAGATATAAATTCTGTGAAATAAAATGTTGAAGACCAGTAAGAGGGTTTATCATAAAAATACTTCCCTCATGTCCAGGATAGCTCCAATATCCAAGATTTTCAGAATTAATGATGTCTTGGGGGGTAAAAAGTAAAATATGGAAAGAGTATATCACATGAAAAAATCTACTATAAGTATTTTTATGACATTCAGGAGAGTAACTTTTATTAATGACCACAGGTATATTAAATAAATAGACACAATACAATCAGTGCAAGAGAAATAATCAAAGACTAATATTTTTCTTCTCTAGAAGTTTTTTTAGAGCCTCTTGGACATCTTTGTTCCTCAGAGAATAAATCAAAGGATTCAACATGGGAGTGACTAGGGAGTAACATAAGGATGCCACTTTACTCAGCTCAGGAAATCTGTCAGGAGTGAGATACATAAAAAAGACAGCACCATACAGCACACTCACAACTCCCAGGTGAGAGCTGCAGGTGGAGAAGGCCTTCTTACGTCCCTCAGTAGAGTGTATCTTTAGAACTGTGGACACAATATACATATAAGATACAATAATGACTATGATAGTAGGCAAGATAATAATACATGACAGGGAAAAAGATATCATTCTATGGATAAAGAGATCAGAACAAGATAGTCTCTGAAGCGGGCGAGAATCACAGTAAAAGTGGTCAACAGCCCGAGAAGCACAAAAAGATAAAGTAAATGTCACGCTGGTCTGAATGACTGAGCTAATGCAGCCACAGAAATAGGAACCAGCCACCAACTGAGTACAGAGACGTGTTGACATTTGAACAGAGTAGAGCAGAGGGTTGCAGATGGCAATAAAGCGGTCATAAGCCATGGCCGCCAGGAGAAATCCCTCAGTCACAATGAAGAGGGCAAAGAGAAAGAGCTGGGCCACACAGCCTGCAAAGGAGATAGACTTGCTTTCAGACCAGAAGTTGATTATAGCCTTGGGTGCAATAACAGATGAATAGAAAAGATCAATGAAGGAGAGATTGCCTAGGAAGAAATACATTGGTGTGTTCAGCCGAGGATCAGTCATAATAATGGCCATCATCCCAACATTCCCTAGAAGGATCATGGCATAAACAAACAGAAATAGCAGGAAGAGGAGAATGTGGAGCTCTGGGCAGACCCTGAAGCCTGCAAGAATGAAGTCAGTCATTTCTGAGTGATTACTTGCTCCCCTGTCACTCATGGTAGAAACCTGTTGAGAGGCACAGGGCAAAATATACAAATGAACTCTTGGTTTGGATCCTAGCATTACAAATAATCTCTTATGATATTAAGATTTACAAAGCTATTTTAATTTTAGCCTCATAAGTATACGGTGACTTAAAGCCAACCAATTGCTGTTGAAACCAAAGATTAGTTGTATTTCTTAATTCTTTAAGTGGTAGAGTTAGGTTTTTTGCCTCTGCATCTAATACAATGCCTTTCTACACAAATGCCTTTCACATTTCCAAGTGTCACTTCTCTATACATTTCCCACTCATGATTCACATAATAACTTCAACATCATGAAGCACTGACTGGAAGAGAGCACAACCAATTTAATAAATGACTTTGGGAAGCACATTAGGTAGTTTGGGTTGGGAGATATTTGGGGTTTTAGTAGTCAAGTTTAGGAAAACGGGGACTTAATTTGGAGTACCAACAAATATAAAGGAAGTGACTGAGTTAAAAAAAAAAAAAAACTACTTGTGAAGTGCAATTACCTTTCACGAGTCATGGAAACTGGATTCTGATGGAAGTTATGTACCCGCTAAGATAAAAGGTGTGCACAACCAAGCACAAATTATTAGTACTCACATTCAAAAATTTCTGTCCCAGATGGGCCATCAAAGCACTTTCATAAAGAAAACTTCCTTTCATTTCTTGATCCCAAGACTTGGAGATCTTTGTTTTAACTTCTATTTTAAGTTCAGGGATGCAAGTGCAGGTTTGTCACATAGGTACATTTGTGTCATTGGATTTTGCTGTACAGATCATTTAATCACTGAAGTATTAAGCCCAGCACCCATTAGTTATTTTTCCTGATCCTCTCCCTCCTCCCACCCTCCACTCTCCAAAAGGTTCCAGTGTGTTTTTCCCCTCTATGTGTCCATGTGACTTGCAGTTCTTTAAAAAGAGATCTACAGTAGAACTCCTCTCCAGATAAAGGAGTTACTTTAGAAATTAGTACTGCAAAGGATACATATGGGGGCATTGTTGATTACACTTTTGTTTGCCCCGAATACAACTTTTGTAGCCATTATTAACTCATTACTGCTCAAATAGATTTTTTAACTTCATATGTTAACAATACAAGCACTCTTTCTTTGTCCTAAGGGCCTTCTGTGCATGATTCTGTCTAGGCAACAATAATAACAAATATGTACATGGCACTTTTCATGCGCCAGACACTTTTCTAAATGCTTTCATAGTAGCTCATTTAATCCATACAATAATAACATGAGGTGGGTATTATTATATTCCCAAGTTTACAGATGAGGAAATTGAGGTACAGAGAAATGAAGTCTGCTTAAATTCACTTACTAGAGTCAGAATCAAGATTTGAAGCCAAGAAAACTGGCTTCAGAATCCATGCTTTTAATCATCATTAATGATTAATCACTGTACTATATCAGCTTTTAATAAAGGACCCTTCCTGTTCCCCTACCTTAATTCTGCTTGCACTTTAGAGTTTAGTAAAAATTTCATATTTCCAAATAAAATCTCTAATTCTTCAACCTGGGTCAAAACATCTTATCCAAAGACAATTGAAGAGACCAACTATCACCATATTTTAATATTGAGATTACATATTAATTATTTTTCACTTGACAATAGCTTACTTAAGACAAAATTCAATTTGTTCTCCATATATTGTTAGCATAACATTATGTGTCTGGTAAATGGCAATTAATCAATACATATTTATTATAGATAAAAGTTGAATGATAATGATCATGCAGAAACAGAGAAAAACATAAAAACTATCTATTTAATACTGCAGTGGTTAGTACAGGTTTTAGGTTTAAATAAATCTAGGCTCCAGTTCTGCTTCACTCACTTTCTAAATGGGACCTTGGACAAGTTACTTATGCTCTCTCTCTGTGCTACTGTATTCTCATATATAAAGTGGAAATAAGAGTCCTCAAAGTTTTCTTGGGAATAGAAAATGACATATGTACATAAATCACTTAGCACCATTTATGGTAAAGTAAGTATTCAGTAAATGTTAGCCATTATTTTCATTATAATCTTCAGTGCTCAGTCCCACTATTCATACCAAATAATGCTTATTAGGTTGAAAATTAATAATACATACATTCGTTTTTGGACAAAACATTCTCAGTTGAGGGGAAGAATCAATCTGTTGAAAGTTTAGAGAGATAAAGAAATCTTGGAGAAATGGAATATTTTGCCTGAGAAAAAAGATTATTAAGAGAAAAGTTGCATAAGATGTTATCATTATTTAAGACTGTATTAAATGTTGAAAATAAAATATTCACCCATTTTATCAAAAATTAGATATGTAAATAATTAAAAAGTAGTAAGAGCTTACATTAGATTGCACTTACAGTCTGGAAAGGTGTAAGATATTTAAGAAGTGAAAGAAAGCTGACTGAAGTAAGCATGAAAAATCATTTTTTGAAAAATAATATATATCATTTATCTTTGTTTTATTCTCATCTAGAGGCAAAACAGATTATTTTAATTTCTAAGATTTATTCCTATCACACTCATTCCAACATTATAATTTAATATTATTATTAAATGTTAATTTTCCTCTCTTGAAAATAATATCCTTAACATCAAACTCAGCTTGTTTGCTGCGTATTGTCAACATAATGTTCTGAATCTAGTGAATTACAATAATTCAGTACATATTTATTACATAGAAAAAAGCTGAATGATAATGAGCTTGTAGAATCAGAGAAGAATGAAAAAACAAATTTATTAAAATAAATTTATATCATTAACTGTTATAAACATTATAACATTATAAATGTTAATAAATGCATTGCTGATTACCTTTTTTACTGGAAAAGAGAGTTCTTCCCAGAGAAGCCAAGAACAAGTAGTCAGTTTGTGACTTATTTTTCAAAAACTTACATGTTTTAAAAGTTACTTTTACCTTGTATTGTTTAGTAACTTGTCAGATTCTGTTAATAATGAAGCAGCAGAGTTCCAATGTTTTCCTCTGTTTATTGTTTTAATTCTAGAAAGGATAAACACAGTTAATTAATGACTGTCATAATTATAAGTACTGAAAAATAATTACTTTGAAATAAAATGAATCATTCCCCACAAATGCACATTTATTATTACAGTTTTAGATTCTTCCTATAGATAAATGTGGCTTATGTGCCTCGTTGCTCTATTTTAAAAACAGTCCTTTTTTTGGTAGTTGATTTCCTAAAAAATTTTATAGTCCTTTTCATAAGAGAGTCAAGGTGAATTTTTCAAATCATGTTCTGCCAAAACTGAAGTAATTCCAGGAACTATAGTCTATAGTTATGCAAAGTGAACCTGAGAAATCAATCCATAGGATATTATCTATCCTGCATTGTCAGAAGCTTGGACGCTTTCAAGGCAAGAGGACAGATTGCCATGGATATGCAAGTAGAGGTCTTGAGCTCTTTGGCATTTCTGAATACTGCCAAAATATCAACAGCAGTTATCCATGAGGGCTTTGGTTTTGCTATAACTTTTTCATATAATTGCAATATTGAGATTTCCTTTGTCTTCTGGGAGACAGTACCTCTGGGAGAGAAGAAAACAAGTTGATTAATTAATAAGACCTCTAGGATCTAGAAGCAAGATCCGTGAAGACCTCAGAGACTCTAGATTTTTTTGAAAAGTCTAAGAGGACTTAAAGTACATATGAGACATTCTTTAGGAAAAATTACAAGGATCTTTTAAGTTTAATTTCTTCACTGAAAAAGAAGCATTTTCAATTTATCATTATAGCACAGTTTTTGATAAGCAAATAGAAATAGATATGAAAGGAAATGTTGTGGTTCATAATGCAATTTGTAGGAAAATTTTGGGTCCTAGTCATAAAGTTAATTTCATATTTACTTTCAGAATTCCATTCACCCAAATCTCTCCTTGCTGACTTTTTAACTATATTTTCTCAATAGTAGTTGATAAGAAAAGATAGAATAGCATGACCATGATATGGGCAAAATCCAACAAATTCCTTCTAATCCATCAAGTAAAGGCCAAATGATTAACTGGATCTAAAGTTGGGTTTATATTGTAATTTTAATCGCTTTAAAGTTGTTTATTCAGGTGTTATGTATTAAGTTAGTAACTTCTCATTAGTCACTGTATATAGTTCAAAATAATTTAAAGAACTGTTCTATATCAGGAAAAAAATCATAATTTGTCTTTGATAAATCTTTAACTGCTATAAATGCATATATGTAAAATAGGAAGAAAAGGGGAATGGGTGGAAAGAGGAGAAAATAATGATGGCTCATAAAGTCGTCATATATGCAGCTAGTTAAAGGCAATATTGATATTTATCCACTCCATATTACCTTTTTTCTGAACATCAGCCTCAATATCTTGAAGCTGTTTGCTGGTAGGGTGACACAAACTTCACCGTTGAAGGATCCGAGACCCTGTGGTCCTGCCTGTGATTAACTGCTGTAGTTGTTCATTAATATTTACAATGAGTCATGGCAGTATTAGAAGGGTTTCTGGAAAATGTTCTAGGTTACTGCTATACTCCTTCTATTAATATCTGTTGCTAATAAGAATAATTTACCCAAGAGAATACAAAGCTTTTTTTTTTTTAACCTATTGGTTCAGCAAAATGAAAGGATTCAGTAAACAGACTGGATTTAGAGCTCATTTTATCAATTGTTGTGTTCCCCTAGTAAAATTATCCCTCTGTTAAGTAGTAAGAATATTCATTCAGCAGGGACAAATGTCATGCAGGCATCCAGCAAAAAAAAAGTTGAGAGTGAGTTGATAGGTTTTACAGTGGTGGCTGACATTCCCATTTTGAACCCTTGTACTTCGACCTGTAATTGCTTCATATATTTGTTGCTAACGAAGAGCACAGATTATATCCTGGATGACAGTTACTCACCTTTCTAAAGCAATGACATCCAGTTGGTCCAACAACTGAATCTTTAATAAATGATTCCGGTCGCTGCCGCCGACGCTACCACAGCGTTTGGGTGTAGAGTTTGGAATCCCTGCGCTGCGTTAACAATGAAGCAGAGTTCGAACGCGCCGGCTTTCCTCAGCAAGATGTGGACGCTTGTGGAGGAAATCCACACTAACGGGATCATCACCTGGAAGCAGAATGGCCAAAGTTTTCTGGTCTTGGATGAGCAACGATTTGCAAAGGAAATTCTTCCCAAATATTTCAAGCACAATAACATGGCAAACTTTGTGAGGCAACTGAATATGTATGGTTTCCGTAAAGCAGTACATATCGACTCTGGAACTGTAAAGCAGGAAAGAGATGGTCCTGTAGAATTTCAGCATCCTTATTTCAAACAAGGACAGGATGACTTGTTGGAGAACATTAAAAGGAAGGTTTCATCTTCAAAACCAGAAGAAAATAAAAACTCGTCAGGAAAATTTTTTAAAAAAATTATAAGTAGTGCTCAGAAGGTTCAAATAAAACAGGAAACTGTTGAGTACAGGCTTTCTGAATTAAAAAGTGAGAATGAGTCCCTTTGAAAGGAGGTGTCAGAATTACGAGCAAAGCATACACAACAGCAACAAGCTATTCGAAAGATTGTCCAGTTTATTGTTACACAGGTTCAAAATAACCAACTTGTGAGTTTAAAACATAAAAGGCCTCTACTTTAAACACTAATGGAGCCCAAAAGAAGAATCTTTTTCAGCACATAGTCAAAGAACCAACTGATAATTACCATCATAAAGTTCCACACAGTAGGACTGAAGTTTTAAAACCAAGGGAGATGATTTCAGATGACATTATTATTTACAATGTTACTGATGATAATGCAAATGAAGAAGATATCCCAGTTATTCCAGAAACTGGGATATTATATCATATCCATATATTATATC